CGGCGGCGGCGGCGGCGGCAGCGGTAGCGGCGGTAGCGTTGGTGGTGGTGGCGTTGGAGGCAACGGCGGCAACGGTGGCAATGGCGGCTGCGGCGGCGGAAGGGCGCTTGGTGGCGGCGGCGGCGGTGGCGGTGGCAGTGTGGCTGTTCCAGTAGTGGTGGTGGCGGCGGTGGCGGTGGTGGCAGTAGAAACAGCTCTATACTTCAACTGCTTCGCTGGAGCTGCATTGCAAGATTTTTACCACTGCATCCAAGGCAAGGCGCTTGCTGGCGGCGGTCTCAGTGGGTCAGTCTTCTATTCCTCAGACTTTCAGGACTTTCTAAATATCCCCACTCGTGATTCTGGGGTTGGACCAGGTTGTGTGGAAGGCATCATGGGGTGATGTTTCGTGGGTTGCTCGGAGTTTGGAATTTTCTGAGATGACCTCTATGTAATCCTTGGAAACCCTAACCTGATAATCCTTGTCATTCCTCCTGAGGCCTATTTGCATCTCCGTGCCTTTGAAGGGAGAACGTGTACCAACAGTGTTTAACCGGGAACGACTAATGTTGGAGCGGTCCCCCTATGCAAGAAAGGGTGTCACATGAAAGGACATCCATGAACCGTGAAAAGACCTCGCTGGAGGGCCACGCTGACAACAGTCCCTGCGTTTCAATGGATCCAGGATTCTCTGTAATGTAGGCGCGTGGTCTCCCCCATCCTAGATGTCAACTGCCGTCAGCTTGCACTGGAGAGAGCGTTAACCGAAGGTGTGCTTTCCACATGCTCGAACCACCCAGTTCCAGACTTATTCAAAATTTTAACCATGCCATCCATGAACCGTGAAACGACCTGGCTGGAGGGCCACACAAAGTACTTCGTCATGGGTTTGTGGCTGTTCGGCTTTGTCTTCGCGCTCTTCACACCTCTGAGCCGCCTTGCAGCAAGCAAATGTCATACAGATACCCCACGATCAGAACGGCAGAACATCTAGAATTTTGCATATGGCCATCATGGCAGTCTACAATCACAATGAATGACTACTATGCCGGCACATGCCCAAACTCTCTGTGGCTTTCCATTCCATCCTTCCAACGAAGAATCCTGTTTCCAGCAAGCTTCAGAGCAAGTTTCTTTCTTCTGATATAGGGTTATATTGGGGTCATATAGGGATAATGGAAAAGAAAATGGAAACTACTATCATGGGTTATATAGGGGTTTATGGGGATGGCTACCTCCCTAGTACCTTCAGTGGTGTATTGCCTGCCAGCTGGGTCTTGCAGGACTGTGAGACCCGAAGTGAAACACCTTTGTATCACTCAAGAAATGCACAAGCATTACGAATCTTCTTGTTGCTGTCCTGATGGCATTGATCATGCGCCCCCTCTTGAGCTTTCGGGGTAACATAGGTTGCCTGAGCGACCATGCATCAATGAGAGTTCTGCCATTCAACATCTACTGAAGACGTGAACACGCTAGTTCATCAACCACCTGGAGGCCAGTACCAAAGGACTTGCAATCCTGAGGAAGAGTCACGTGGTTTTCTTGTGCAGATCGGATGCTTTTGCCTCAAGTGGAGGCAAACATGTTGGACCCATGTCTTCACAGCCTTGCCTTTCTTTGTCAGGTGCGCTCAGTACTTGGTGACGACCCCAGCTGCTGAAGTCAAGCAAAAGCAAAGAATGCGAGCAGAATATGCTTGACAACAGTAACAGTTTTATTACGTGCAGTATAGAGGCCGAGCTTGCAAACTGAAGTGAGGGATGGCAACGCCTGACGAGCGTCGTTGATGAAGCAGGGAATTGTTGACGTCAGGGCGTTATCACCCAGATTGCGTTATCACCCAGATTGCAGCCTTCTGTTAATGCGCAATCTTTTTTGGGTGTTAGGTGTCTGGCCATATTCGGCACCTACCTCCTCTCAGAGGACCACTTCTTCTTGCAATTCAGGGTCTCAAAATCAACGTCCCTGTTTTCATCTATGGGGCCGCAGTATGTTGATTTCTCAAAGAGGGCCGATGTTTTTGAGGATTACCCAGGTACAGCTGTCCGAAGATTTGAAAGCAGATGATGGCTTTTGCTTGCTGTGTTCTTGTTCCTGGGAGCCCGCATGCCTTGCATCAGACGGTTTTTTTCCCCTTTCTCAACTTGTATTAGATATTCCGGCATCACAGATGGAAAAAGCATGTCTTCTCTCAAGTGTGTCTTCCTTTGCTGGTCGCGTAGGATGCTCAGATGCGCCCATGCGCCTTGGCTGCAAGAGTCGCGCAGGCTTCAATCGTCCGACAGTCAAGACCATAGTTGAAAAAGGGCCACAGGGCACCACAGATTGTCACACCCGTCATCAAAGGAGTGCCTTGTCATTATCATTGCTACTTGAAAATAGTCTGCGTTTCAGCTACATGTGATCACAGAGAAAATGCATTTGTGAGAACTATCAAGGTTACGAGCTGATTCGTAACTCCTCCATTGGCATCTGCTGCGGCACTGGTGGCCTGCGGCTGCTTGGACTACTTGGAGACAGGATGAATTACAGCTAAAGTTGTGCACATGCTATTTTGGCTGATGCTCATGATGCTCCTCGTGTCGAATGCCAGTACAATAGTTTAATCTCTCATGGTTGATGTTGATATCCTAATTCTTGTTTGCTTCTGCCTCTTCTTGTGCTGCATCTTTTCTTGTACCAACTCTTTGATCCTCCTTCCTGGACCATTATGTACAGCCTACAAGTGCGACGCCAATTCCGATGACCACTACAACCACGCACTGCCACCACTGTCATTTCCATTTCATTATCATGAGTTCACGTGTTGTGACGTTGTATGACATTCTCGATGTATTGTTGTCATTATTTCTATGCTGGATCTGATTTGCTCAGCCCTCATGACTGCCTTCTGCTCGGAGTCGCCTAAGGTGTTGCATCATATGGGTATAAGTCTAAATTCATTCTACTATGGGCCCCTGTACTTGGGGTCCTATCATGATACGAGTCCCTGTATAATTTCCCCCATTTTGAACCGTAATGTAGGCCAAGTCTCATGTCTTTCCGCGCGATGACTAATTGCATTGCTCGGGACATGCCAATGCTTGCTAGGTGTCGGTCCTCGCATGCTGTTCCATGTTTCCTGACTGGGGCTTATTATGAGGATGGTTTCAGGAGTGTTTGCCTAGTCAAAAGCTGCACTCTTGCTGATCTTTGAGCTGAGAGAGTCCTCGCTCAGGATGCTGATGCCCTTCTTCTTGCTGGGCTTCATCAACTCCCTCGTAGACGGTGCCTCCTTGGCTCAGGCAGTTGCCCCCCAAGCAGTACAAAAACTCACATATTCAAAACTAGAGTAGCGATGGGGAATGTGAAGAGTTACGGGGACAGGGCGTGTTTCGTTCTGGCGATGTGACCACTCTCGCCAGATTACCATTAGTTCGATTGTTGTGGTGTTGTTCGTCTCATCACATACCGCCTGGATGGTGTTTGCACAGTGTGGCGCCGAGTGAGTAAATGTCAGCATCAAGGCATACAGAAACATCATGGCTGGATTTTTCAACTCATCAAGGTCGAGAGTCTGGTAAAGGGACTTCGTGGGCGCCCCAAAGAGGGAACCCCAAGCATATAGTAGGGGTATAATAGGAATATAAGGACCCTGTTAGGTAAATTCCTATTATATTCCTACTTCGTTCTTGGGCTCGCCTGTTTGGGGCTCCCATTGAAGACCTCGTATTTCGGACAATCATAGGACAGCTACGCTTGCCAGCTTGGCTGACACGGAAGCCATCCACCATCTCATCATCTCAAAACATTGGCAAGTATGTGCCAAAGTTCGGGTTCCCACCAAGCCACCAAGGCACAAGCAACAGTATTCTTTGTGCCAGGATCCCCGGAAAACCGAAAGAAGTGAACCATGCCTCATACATTTGGCATGCCCTGAAGGGATACGCTGTTGAATGAAGGTCCTTAGAAATCCACCCGAAATACTCTAGCCCCAAACGATGGAAACCTCCAGAAAACAGGGAGCCCATCCTCTGAGAACAGCCCCAGATCTTCACCACCTACGGCTGGCAGACTTTCAAGTTGATCCCCGCATCTTGGCTTGGCTTGGGGTCGAGAAGCTGTGGGTAGGGAGCGTTGGAATTCTTGTTGGACAGTCTTCTGGGGTACGGTCTTCTTAGGAGGCAGTTTGGGGGGGGGGGGGCGGAATACTGTTTTTGATAGATTTGTTGTTGATTTTTGCTTGTCAGGTACTCTCCTGTAGCTCGTACAGAAAGGCCGCCACTTTTTGTTTACACCCACCTGACTCCCTTGCTGTGCACAATGCCTGCCTTGTGGTCACAGATTCAAGAGACCGCTGAATGAAGTTAAAGTGTACTTCTCGTTTGACCAGTGGCGCCTGAAACGTCCGGCTGCCTCTTTTTTGCTTATTGCTCCTTTCTCTGGTTTGGTTGCTGCTGTTTGCTTTCTGCTTTTCTTCCGTGTTTTTTTTTGCTTTCTGCCTCCTGCTTGCTTTCTGCGTTTGCTTTCTGGCCGCTGCTTCCTGCTTTTTGCTCTCTGCTTTCTGCTTTTTGCTCTATGCCTTTTGCTTTCTGCTTCTTGCTTTCTGCTTTTTGATTTGTGTTTCTTGCTGCCTATGGTCTGCTTCCTGCTTGCTGCTTTCTGCCTCTCCTCTGTTGCTTTTAGCTTCTTCTTGCTTGTTGACTACACACTGCTTGCAGCTCGCTGCTTTCAGACTTTTGTTGTTGGCTTATTTCTTTCTGCCTTATGTTTGCTGCAGTGTTCTTTTTGCTTCTTGGGGGCTCGTGGGGGTCAGGGCTGCGATCCTCGTAAATGTCGTCGCTGTTGGACCCTCGCATCCCTTTGGATGGTGACAAGAAAGAAAGTAGCAAGGAAAGCGGGGTTGGGCGGGCGCAGCCCCCCCCATCTGCAATCAAAATGATCCGCATGATGATATGTTTTTTACAGCAAGCACGCATGGTGTGGTGCTGCTCCGCTTTTTTTAAGGCCATCCATGCTTGCAATAAAACACATCATGTCAGCACCCTGATTGCAGTGAGGAAAGAATGTGCGGATCATTTTCATCGTAACGGGAGGGCTGCCCCCCCCAACCCACCCGCTTTTTTGAAGCCAGGCTCACGAGAAAAAAAGTCATCGCCATGTTTGCAGTAGGCGAAGGGAACTTCCTCAGTTTTACTCGCGCATCTTTCCTGAAAGCTTTGGCATGGAACGTCCTCACATTATCAGTCAAAATCAAGCTCTGGCGTGGAGCGGCAATCAAGCTCCGGCATCCAACACCCTCACATTGTACTCAAATGGAGCTCTGGCGTAGAGAGACCTCAGAGTTTATAATCGAACTGGAGCTCCGGCGTGGAGCGTCCTCACATGTGTTCTCAAAATCGAGCTCTGGCGTGGAGCGTCCTGGCCTTTTTACTCAAAATCGAGCCCTGGTGTGGAACTTCCTCACATTTTCTAGTCAAAATCCAGCTTTGGCGTGGAGCATCCTCGCATTTGCCTTCCAAAAGGAAGAAGACAAACACTTTTCAAAACAAAAGACTACAAATGATTCCAGACCCAGGGATTCTGCTTCTTGAGAGAGTCACCCAGACTTTTTCACCATGGCATGATGCTCATGCCGTAACAGTTTACATGGTTTCGCACAACCGTTGTAAAGGTACTTCTGTGTTAAGAGATGAGGTGGATGCCCTGCTGGGGATCTTCATCTGCGAGCTGATCTGCACTCTGATCACCTGGCGGGTGTTGAAGGCGATTCTTCCCTTAGCGTCGCCGCCTGGTTTTACTAGGGTTCAGGATTCTGCGTAGTTGTTTTTAGGGTTCCAGGCTGATGGCTTTGCGGATGGTTGTTGGGATCTAGGCCTAGACTCATCCGCAGGGCAGTGAAATTGGGATGCAATTCAGGCCTTGAGAGGCAGACTAAGCAGATGCTGCATTTGCGGATGAGATGGGCTTCCAGAGCAGAAAGGGAGACGCACATGATTCGTGGCCGGATGGTGGGAAACCGGTGCGGAGCATCAAGGATGCTTTTCTGTAGCAGCAACTAACAGAGTCCGCATGATCTAGACAGCTCGTCCACTTCAATGTTTGTCCACAAAGTTGTGCATCAGCATGCATCGCCCATCTCAGGTTCGACGGCGACCTGGCTCCTATATGGATGTTTTCAAGCAATCAGGTCTTGAGTTGAGGTGGACCTGCAAAAAGGAAGGGAAGTCCTTGCCTCTATGAGGGTGGAAGCGGATGGCCATGTTGGTCCAAAGAGAGTGGAGTTGCAGTGGAAGACAGTGGTTCTTTGTCAACAGATGTCTTGAGGCTTTCCCCGCACGGTGCCCTGGCGGTGGAGCATGTGGTGCATACACTCTGTACTGCAATAACCACGCACGCTGATCTGAGCCATGATAACTTGCACACCCTGAAAACACGTCAGAGCACTCCCATACCACTGAACCACGCGAATGCCACTTGGAATGGATTTAGGGCCTTCTGGCCGAAGGTTTCTTGATCTGCTGTTCATAGCTCTTTCAGAGTTCTTGGTGAGGAAGGAGGGGCTCACGCATAAGCCCTGCGCCTTGTAAAATTCAAAGCTAAACGCCATGTGCTAAGTTCATTAAGGAGGCCACGCATGCCGCTACGTGTGTGAGTTTTTGAGAATCGGGGCCGCCTCTTTGGTTTTAAGCTGTTCAAACTGTCCACATACACCTTTGCTATGCAGATCTGATGTCAGCCCTCTAGAACATTTTTGCCAGCCGCATGCAGGCCACTCTTAAGCCCTGCATGTACACCTGAGGCTATCAGGAGTTGGCTCCAGGACCACCAACGGGTGCGTCGGGTGGTGCCGGACTCGGCTATACCTATTCAACCAGTCCAGTGCATAAGGCATGAGAGTCATGACAACGTTTCAGGGATTAGGTAGGTTTAGGTCTTGCGGTTTAGGCTTAGGGTGTACGTGTTTACAGGAGCAGCAGAACGACAAAATCAGAACGATTATACAAACATCGACAATGAGGAGGCTGCTGGCTTTGGTGTCAGCCAAGAAGGATTGTAAATCTTGCGTTCGACTCTTGCAGTGCTGGTATGTGAATACCAGTGATTAGGTTCAGGATCCAGGGCCAGTAGTTAAGTTTTTGGAAGCTCAGGGGTGTGGATTCAGATTTTCATGGAGGGGTTCTATCTGAAACATCTTGTGAAGAGGTGTCTCCCAGCTGTACCTGCGTGACCCCGAGCCTGGTAAATTTGGTAATTTCCCAAAATGGGGGACCCCAATATAGATCTCAACATAGTATAATCCTTATTGAAAGGACTGTACCCCTGATTTTTGTAGCCTCCAAATAATGTCATCTAATGCCAAGGCACTGGCAGTCGGCCTCTGGGTGGCTCGGGACCGGGAGGACGGGTTAGAGGTTCACCGAGATGCAGGGCCCATCGTTGGAGTCCCTGTAGTAAGGATTTTAGTATCTTGGGGTCTATATTAGCCCTTATTTTATGAAGATACCATACAGCCCTGTCTGGGCCACTTCGAAAAAGCTGCGCCCGCGGTGCCCTGATGTTGATGCCCTGATGTTGTTACCTATCTAGGCAAAGAGAAGTGAGGAATGTTGTTCCGTTTGTGAAGCCTAAATAGTAGTTTCTATTTTGTTTTCCATTATCCCAATATAACCCCAATATGTCCCGTATATGATCCCTGTAAAATATGGTAGTTTCCATTTTCCTTTCCATTATCCCAATAAAACCTCATTTTAACCCTATATTACCCCAATATTTAGGGCTTTGGAATGCTAACGCCGGAGCTATGGTTGATTCAGCGAGCTGCGGCTAGGACTTTCTGGCGCCACCGCCTCATCGTCGTCCAGAGGTCGGCCCAACAACACCAGCTTTCAGCCATTCCAAGGGACAGCCAGGAGCTTAGGTGTTCAGTCATTGCGAGTGCCGCAGCAATTTTTCGGAGTCCTGGCACAAGATCCCTCGCCTTTTTGCATGTGTTTGCCTGTGTGCTCCTGACCCTGGCGCTACTGGAGTTCTGGACACACTACATACATTCCTCGGACCAAGGGGCACAAGCTGGGAGCGTGACCTGAGCACTGAACAGTTCATTGCCCGCAGCCACAAGATCAAAGCAGATGGATGACACCTGAACAGGGTTGATGGTTGATGATCTCCAGGGATATGCATCTTCATCTTGACCAACGGCTGTGGCTGCGGGCAGGATTCCGTTGATACCGCAGTGGTGCTGGTTTCCTAGCTTGGCTTGATCGGAGCCTGGCCTGATCTTCCCTTGTTGTTAGATGAACTACGTCAGGCGGGGACGTGCAGCAGCCTCAAAGGGACGAGTATGACGCCTGTGCATGTGGTTAATGATGTCCAGTAGAGGGAGTTCATTGCACGATGTTCTCGTATGTTAGCACTGGTTAGCCGAGACTATTGTGTGACCGTTGCTGTCATCGGTGGTTCCAACTACGGTTTGAGCACTTGACCCTCCTGGCTGCTACACGGCTCTTGTTTCACGCCATTGTGCCTCAATTTTCGGACATCCTGGGCCTATGCCCGGGCTTCGCAGACCCTGCCGTAATGCGCTTGTTGCGGAACCAATGATAATGCAGCAATCCCCAAGCACGACACAAGATGTCCGCGAGTTGATGAAGTTTGTCCGTTGGAGAAGGACTAGCTAGAGCTGCCGTGCACGGCAGCCACAAGAAGCCAGAAAGAGGAGCCAACCGGCCACTTCACTGCTGGCTTGTGGCGGTTCATGAGCATTGTAGTTTCAAAGTAGTTCGTACATTTGTGCAACTTGCATGCTTGACTGTAGAGACTGCAGCAGGTGCACGCGGAGCTGGAGCAACAGCAAAACATGAAGGCAACGGACTGCTCTAGTCCTCACAGGTGGATTGCTACCATTGCTTTACAGTTTTGGTGCTAAATGTTGCTGTTAACACGCCACTGGCACAACTTTATCATTGCTGCAGATCATCATGATTTCATGATTGATCATGATTGTTTCTGCCCACTGAGGTGATGATCGTTGTGTATTCTGTATTAATCAGACGGAAGCCTGAAGAACCTCGGACTGCTTGTCGTTTCTGGGTCAGAGAGACCAGTTTTGCGCTAAGAATTCAGCCCTTTTCTGGGGCATGTGTGCAAGATCCTTGAATCCTTCTCCATGACCGCCTTGTATACTGCTACCTACACAAGCCTACAAGCACCAACAGCCACCGTGACTACATGAGCCCACGTGCTGTTTGTATGTGTTTTGCTTGTCCAAGCAATGTTCACATTTTACGGGCTAGATTGCTACTTGATACACACGTTGTCTTGGTTAGCTTCTTTTGCCAGAACCGCGGGATCAACACATTGCCTCCCAAAAATGATCCCTATCAGCCTTTGGGTCGATGCAAGCTTGTTTGAGTGATGCACTCCCGGAAGGGTCCCGGTCTAGTCTCTAGTGCAAGAGGTGCCGGTGACCCATTCTCAAAATTAGGGCTCCCTCATACAGATAAGGCCTCCTGAGTTTGAACCCTTACCTTTAAAATCCTAGACATGCAGCCATGGCACTACAAAACATGCACTAGACCCTTCGAACCGCAACCCCAACTCGTAGGCCTTAATCCTCGGCGCCCCAACCCCTTCCCATAAAACCCCCTTAGTCCCAGGGTCCTTATGTGTCCATTTTTGTGGATTAGGACCCTAGATTAAGGTTGTTTGGGATAGCAGGCAGAGCTGGCGGAGCTTTCAGAGCAGTCGCAGCAGCTGGCTCAAGCCAAGGCCACCCTGAAGGCCCCCGGCTTCCTCCTGGCTTTTAGGGGAACTTGAGGATTAAGGCTTCAGGGTTTGGAGTTTAAGCTGTGGGAGGTGAAAGGTTTTTTGCTGGAGTCATGCGTAGTGCATGAGCAGAATTATCAGCCAGTACCCCAACTGAAGTTTAATGTTAGCAGTTCTCGCTCTCTCTCTCTATCTCTCTCTCTTTCTCTTTTCACTCGCCTAGGGCCAACTGCAAATGACTCTTTTTGAACTTCAGGGATCGCATAGGAGATTTGTTATTGTGAGGTTTTCATTTTGACAACAGGGCCATATGCGCTCTTACAACGCTGTTGGGGTTCTCAGTTTAGGGAGGGTTGGATATGGTTTAGAAAACGTCAGTCATGAATGTGTTAGGATACGAAAAATGCATCATTGGCCGATCTAGTTTATGTAGACCCTCAGTTCTCGAAAGCTTGGCAGTTCATGCCGAAGTTCGGGGCAGGTTCTCCAGATTGAATCTTGCAAAAGCAGCGTTTGTCATTTGTCGGACGCCGGTGACCAATTAGCAAGGGGCGTCATGAGGTAAGTCCTTCCTTCCACATTCTTCAGGTAGGTTCGGAGTAAGTGAGTGGTGACATGTGGGATAGTGGACAAGATGAAGAATTGTGGCGCAGGACGAGTTCGTGGAAGACTTCGCTGCGGAGCTCCGGAAGGAAGTTGTTGCGGTCAGATTCCCAGCCTTCTGCATAGCCAGTGCATGTGACACTGTGACAGAGCTGCGTTGCAGAGCTGTGTTGTAGCTGCGTTCGCGTAAGTTGCTGCCTGCTTGTAGACCTTTGAAGAGTCCTTCTGAAGCCCAAGATTATCAATCCAAATCCCTCAGCGCCCAAGTCGGACATCCGAATAGTCTTTTGGAAATCCATCATACTCACAAGCCTTTTTCGTGGCACTGCTCTCTTTGAAGCTGAGGGCTATCGTAGCTGGCAGCAGACTACAGAGGCAAGGTTGCTTTTGGCCAATTTCCGCCTCATTCTGTGCACCTAAGTATTGAGGCCTGAAAGGAGGTTTGACGTCAGTGTTACTTGATTAGAGGATTTACTGCTTCTAGTGATGATTCTGACGTTTCTGCCAGAATGAAGACGCTTAGGCGGTGAACGTACTGTGCTTGGTGCTGGGAAACAATTTGCATTCGTTTTCCTTGGTACAGTTTGCGTTTCCAGTGCTACTTCTTACTTAGCTCATGATGCCCGGACTGCTCTTGATAGATTCAAAGACTCACCATTGTGGTGGCTTGGTAGCTTCGAGCACTTTGCGAAGACAAGTTGTATCCGGCTGAACTGATGACAGTCTGCGAGAAGATAAGGCCAAGTCTCAGTCATGAAAACATTGCATACTTCGGAAGATCATCCGATTGTGAAGTTCACCTTGCCAGACTATACAACACCCCAAATCCCAGTGTATTACTTCAGTTTCCTGCACGCAGCTTGATCGCGCATGTGCCGCTTACTCCCCCTGTTGGCGGGCTCGTCAGCTGGCGCTGTAGCGCAACAATTTGCATCGAGAAGGCACTCCCAACCTAGCTCACATGCAGCAACTTACCAACACTCAGCATTCAACATCAGTCCCTCAACAACGGAGATCATAAGCTGCCTGCCTTCTCAAGAAGGGCAAGAAGCAAAAGCAGCGCAAACCAAGCAAAGGTCCCGGAAGGGTCTTTGAAGCCACAGGCATATGACAAGCAAGACAGTACCTATCAAGCAGCACCTTGGGCAGTCATGGGCAATGAGAAAGACGAGAAAGGGCCAAAGCGAAAAGTCGACGGCTCAGGGATCTCCGTCAAGGTAGAGTAGAGATGTGAGCTGAGACTTTCAAGCCAGCCCTGAATGTTGCCCCTTCCTCTCTCAAAGCTGTTGAAGCGAGGCCCTCAATGTCAACCTCGGTGTCCTCGGCCACATCGACAGCGGGAAGACGTCGATATGTGCCCAAGCTGAGATACAGCAAAACACTGCTGTTTCAGATTCGCCTTTTTTATCACGGGCATGTCCTCGTTTTCCCTGCTCAAGGCAAGATGCTGTCCACTGCCCCTCGGCTTTCAACCAATTGTAGCCAAGTGTCCCCAGGCCTGAAGATCAGATGGACGCTAGACAGCTTCAATTGCCCTGTCCAGTCGGCTTGACAAACTGATTATTTGTCGCTGCGGACCTTCTCGACTGCTTTAGACTTTCCGGGTGCAAGGTCACCTCGACAGCATCCATGGACAAGAGCAAAGAGTCGCAGGCCGATACTTGCTGTATGACAAGGGCGTGCAATTTGGTGTGAGAACACTGCTGACATGTCCAACCTTGGCTTGTAAACGAGCCTACCGGTGTTCTCGTTGCAATTTGCAATGGGAAACTGCTGCCAGTTGCTGCTTGGGAAAGAGGAGTCTCGGCCAAGCAGCCAGCTGCGATTGACAGGAGCGTGGTATCACGCTCGATCTGGGGTTCTCATCGTTTTCAACGGACGCGCCGGAACACATACAGGCGCATCACCTCCAGCAAGAAAGTTAAAATGCTACGATAGATGCTACTGCATTTGCCTAGCACTTACCCCTGCATGCACGGATGGAGTTTGGCAGGGTCCACGTGATTTGGCTCATGACACTCTTGTTGCTTTTCAGTCCGCCGGATTCGACGCGATCCAGTGGTGCCTGGTCGATTGCCCCGGCCATGCCTCTCTGATACGCACCGTCATAGGCTGGTCTTGGGCTGGTATAGGGAGCAGCTGTGCATTCGTGCGTTCGAGATGTGTGCGCTGAAACGCTGGAACGGAGAATTATCGCATGTGGCTGGATACAACAATTCTACAATTGGCAGGCGGCGCCCAGATTATCGACCTCTGCGCCCTCGTCATTGATGTGAACAAGGCACAAGCAGACCGGGGCTAAAGGTCATGCAACTGTGTTTCCGGGTAGCTCATAGCTTTCCCTCAAGCCTAGGGCTGTGCGGACTTTATTGCCTGAGGGCATACAGACCCAGACGGCTGAGTGCATGGTGGTTGCCGAAATCCTGGCCAATCAGCTGGTGGCAGCCTGAGAGAGCGGCGGAAGTGCAAGCTGAAAACAGTGAAGCCGGATTATGGCCTCGTCGCCTGAGGAGAGAGTGAAGACCTTACCGAGTGTTCATGTGGTGCAAGCGTTTATTGAGTTTATTGCAAGGTCGTCATCCTGAATAAAATCGACATGATTCCCGCTGACCGGGGCTTAGCTGCTCATGACTCATGCTTCGTACTGAGAAAGATGGAAGAAGAGTAACGGCAGTCATACCATACAGTATCTGTCTTCTTTAACAACTTGCGGTGCTTGTTGTCAGTCTGATTTTCGTCATGATGAATTTCGCATATCTGCAAAAAGAGAATGCAACATGCAGCGCTGTTTCTTTGACAGCAAGTCAAGCTGTCTGTTTGGAGGGAGAGTCAGTAAGATGCCTCTCCGCTAAGGAGCGACTTCGCCTTTTCAGAATCCAGGGTTCGCCAAGCCAGCTGTGGCAGATGTAGCTTTTATAGTCGGAGATTATTGTGACAAATACGCTATATCAGATCGTATAGTGTGAGCTTCATCAGATTGACATCTGCATAAGGAAAAGCGGAAGAAAATATTGGACAAGGTCATCAAGGAACTCAGAAAGGCAGGTGGGCTCACAGCAAGGTTTTGCTGAAACCATGATTACGCTTGAGCAATGGGCTGAAGGGTAAACGCGCCTGTGACAGCCGCTGCTGTCGATGTGTTTTCCGCAGTGTGGAAAGGGAAGGATACTATTTGTCCAGCAGCGATGCTTGCAAAGGCGTAGGAAGGATTTTGTATGCTTTTGATTACATTCCCCCGCCCTGTCCGAGACCTTCGCCAGAACGAAGTTCGGTTCCGACCTTCCCTTTGCTTGTGTGTCAGCACATCCACAGGACCGATGGGATGCATTCAGGTATGTTCGCAAGCGTCTGCGCAATCCTATATTCCTATACCATGTAGGAATGCGTGTTTGTCAAGGAACAGTCTCCACTAGAGGTTCCTACTACAAGGAGAGTAGACAGTTCCCGCGTTTTCCTGCAGAAGAGTCAAAATCTTTACAGTGCAGTTGCAGCAGAGTAAGCCTGTCAGTGCAAAACATGTGCTCGACTCAGGCCTCGCTTGATATCATGCGCCGAAAAAAGGGCAATTATCATTATTACTATTTTGAGTACCAGTATAGTTATTACATATTATTCAGCTTTTCTTCGCAGGGCGCCTCACTTCAGGATCATGCCTCCTTTTCATAAGGTACCCCAGAGAACTAACCCCTGCCCCCGATTCATGAAGTGTGATATCACATGCAACCATCCCAATGCTTTTTTCGTTCCAACCCCGGCATACTTCGCAGTAACCATAAATCCCGAACCTCAATTCATCCGCAACTCCTTAACCCTACCAATAAGTACAGCACTGGAGAGTGGGAAGGATGGCTCTGAGCCTTTGGGTGCCACCGACTTGATGGAGGCTCGCTTGGGGAACCCTCCAAAAGGGCAGCCCCCCATCGCGATCCAACACATGCTTATCAAGCAGGAACATCTGTCAGAGCGCCTTTCTACAAGTAGTTGGGCCGAGCACCATCAGTATGGTGTTGAGGGTGCTTTGAGTGACCAAATGCCAAAGCCCCTGGAGCACATCTATGAATTCAACTAGGTACAGATACTTGAGATTCAAGGTCCTGTTGACTGTGCCGCTGCTCAGTAGTGCCTATGCCCCATGTAATTTCTGACATGCAATGCCCAGAGTCTCCGTACCCTTTCTTGTAGTCTGCCAGCTTTGGCTTGGTTCTTTGGTTGTTGGAACCTTGTTTGCCTGAATGAACTCCTTATTGCTGCTAGTAGGTTCATGAACTGCCAAAGCTGTTGAAGTTATACTATACTATACTATACTAGACTAGACTAGACTAGACTATACTATACTACATTATTTTAAGTATACTGTCTGTCTGGTGGCAAGGTCATCAAGACCAACCTTGCTCTTCCTCAGCGAGACTCATCGGGACCGTTCATGCCGAACCCTGAGCATGTTGGCATGAAAGCTCAGGACTGGATGCTTGCAATAGAGGGTAATTGGTTGGTTTGAAGCTTTTTGGAGGTCGATGGTCAACTAGGGGATCCTGATTCCTATGGCCTGAGCCACAGACCACCTCTCCTTCTGCCCAAAATGACACGCCATCACAGCTTCTTAGGCTCTCCGGCTTGGCGTGCTGTTGATTACAATAGCAGGGCAGAGCTTGTGACATTGGCTTCCACACTTCAAACAGAGTAAAGCATCTCCAAGCACAAGCTCAACCCTGCGGAGGGCTACCAAACACTGTGAATGCTTCTGTTTGAAATCAAGTGTTAGACGTAAGAAGCCTGGCACCACGGCAGACCAAAAAGGAAGCCAATGTAACACGTACCATGAGACTCCACAGCAGGGAGAACCCAAATCTCATCTTCCTGCTTTTGGAGGTTTGCCTACGACCATGCTTTTGCCATCAAGGGGCAAGGCACAGTTCTGACAGGCCATGCCAAGCCACGCTTCATGATAGGCAGCCTTGAGGATGTAAAATTGCATTTCTGTAAGGATCGTAAAGGAAATCATGTGGCGTATATATGCAGGGATCATGGGGCGGTCATTTGAGAAGCTCCGTCTGGATATTTCTCGCATTGGGATCCATTGCATTCTGGAAGAATTCCGTTCCTCAGATACCTCCGAACTTTAAAAAGTGTGAACCTGGTAAATGGAGCAGAATCCGTAGGCATCATAACTTCATATGATACCAAAATTGCCTTGGGATGATCCCGGCCTGTAATCCAAATATGCCGTCCCCATTGTTGTCTTAAGAAATCTATACGACAACTCCACACCGCCCAAGCTCGTAAAGTCAGCAGAAGGAGCATTCATACGTCCCGAGGCCTCAACTTATCTCAACTTCAACCGATTTGACCTCTCCACACCAGACCCCCCTCCCCCTGCAAAGAACATGCCAGGAACTGTGCTTTCTGGCGCTGTGAAGCCCCAGATGGGCATTGTGGTGCCGCAGCTCGGTGAGGTGCACCACAAGTGGGATTGATGCTGGAGTGTTCGGCCACGAGTATGTAAAGAGTATCAGTGGAAAATCATCTTGATTATTCTGATTTCTAGAATACTTGTGCGGATTTACACGAACCTTACCCACTACATTGGGCTTCTGCAAACTTTGGCTATTATGAAGTCTCAGTGGTATCCGGAGTTAAACCAGTGACAAAGAGTACGCCCGCTTCCTGGCATCCTTGCTGTTGTGATCCCTGTGCACTGGAAAGTCCTACTACTGGTTTCCACTGCTGGTGGGGTGTGCTCAATTGTAAAACTGTCGGAATGGTCCAAGCGGGCATGGCCGCGTGGTTTCTGATGTGGAGATGGCTGTTTGAACCAGGATTTACGATAGCTGGAAATGCAATATTGCTGGAGTTTGTGCCAGTCGCTGGTATGCGTCTGCTCGTAGGAGCGCATTGACTCTCACACTTCTGGCTCGGCTTCCACGTTTTGACAGGAGACCGATTGGGAACGCGAATCCTTGAGCGCAGCTGATATGACCTCATGACACTTGGCACCCAGCCAGGCCGCCTAGTGGAAGCGTCCAGCTGCAACAAGCAGGGCCCAACCAGTCGAAAACTCCAGGCTGACTTTCCCACCGTGGCAACATGAATGAATGCAGAGCCGAGCAACTTCGCTCATCAAAAGCTTCCGGGCACAGCAAAAGCTCAACACCTCGGCGACAGGAAATCTGAAAAAGGCCCAGGCACTTCCAAATGCGCCTGCAGATCACATATGCAAGAAGCAATCGAGGACCGTCGTCCAGGTACAGACAGGTCAAAGTTGCCATGCTAGAGCAGTATGAAACGCCAGTCATCCTATGCTGGCTTGTGGATCACATAGCCATGGAGATGCATGGACCAGCACTGGCTGCAAAAGCAAGTGCACTACTACAGAATCTGAACGTCTAAGGAGGTCGACTGAACAGTACAAGATTCGTGTTGCTCTGCCACCAAACCGCGCGAACATTGGAATGAATGTCCCAAAGCTCAGGATCAGCAAGGCTTGCCACCGCCAAAACAAGACTTGTCCTTGCAGGCAGGCAAGGGCAAGAAGGTCAGAAGCTTGCAGATCCGTGGCAGCACCCATTTTATCATGCAGCACTTGGAAGGGGGTGTGGGCTTGAAGGGTGAGTATCCTTGGCGATGTCCTTTTGCAGAGAGCTGCCTAGAGACCTAGTAAGCGCCCGCTACCCAGTCATTTGGCCGAGGATGTTCCGACAGCCGGTGCAGGAAGCCATCCAAGGCATCTTGGCAGTCTCCATGTTTGCAGCATTTGTGTGGCGATCAAAAGACTCCACCCTGCTGCACCTGCACGCTCGGCAGGCGATCGCGTGGCCATGTGCGTTGCAGCCTTGGACGCCAAGGCAAGCGAAACAGTACTCAAGATTCCTCTTGCGTTTTCTGAAGTGTGGCGGCACCTGTCATACCCCAATGCAGACTTGCTTTGGCAAAAGGGATCACGTGGCCAAGCTGGTTACAGCGTCTCAGCAGGCAAGTTTGAAGGGTTTGCGGCTAACACAAAAACAAGAAAAGAAGCTTGCAGGGCAATCCGCAGTATTGCGGACCAGCAAAGCGCATAGAATGCAGACAGTTCGCCTTAACTTCCTCAGCACGCGAAGGAGCTGGAGCGGGGCATCGTGCTGGGTGAAAAGTTTCCAGTCCCGATGGTGATCTCGCTGGCACGTTTCCCAGACGCTAGCATGAAACCCTGCGGAAGCAGGTGTTTTCACTTCACGGCTTAGTGGAGCTCGTTGACATATTTAGGAATATGAAGGCATGGATAGCTTCATTGCAGGGTGTCATGTGTCAGATGTGGGCCTTTCCAGATTTGTGAGGTCCACTTACTTGAGCCCCACTCTGAAATAGATTCATCAATAATTGTGAGAAGTCCATTTCAGAAAGCCGCCTTCCTGTGATTCAATCGAGAGCTGACTTCTCTGCTTGCCAGGACGCAGCCGTGTGCGTGGTGGACAAGATCAACTACTTTAAGAGACACTTGGCTATCTGCAGGATTCTTAACCTGAACCCTCAATGGGCCTACAATCCCATATGCCCCCATACCTTGGGTACTGCCAGTTTGTATATAGCCCTTATATTACGCACCCTATAGACTGTTACTGGGGCAGTACCCAACCCATACCAATCTCTGAGCTCCACAGTTGCTCCAAGGCACGGTGTTGACAAAGTCGAAATTCCATGTCACCATGGGGCATCAGACAGCCAAGCCAGCCTGGCTTTGAAAAGGGTGCATTGGTTTAGGGGAGGGTTTATGGATTTGAGGGTTTCTGGGATTCTCTGCGGGTGTAGGAATTTACGTAGGAATAACACCAAAAGGGGTTAGGTGCCAAGAAAGGTCTTCCGAGGACCTTCCCCAGCCTGCACCATATGCAAAGCTATTGCCAAGTCTTGCCCAAGAGTTCCTATCATCCAAAATCCAGAAAAATTACTGTAAATGCCGAATTCTCCTGCTCCGAACCTCATAATCCCCACATGAGCAATACAGATGCGATCGCCAGGTCATGGCCACTGCCCACTTTTTCTGCCCCTTCCCGGGGGCGGCTGGTGCAACGCCTTCGGCGCCCTCGAGGAAGTGGGCAGTGAAATTGGGGTTTGAGAAATGGCTGGGAATTAGGGACACCAGGAACGTATGGGGTTTACAACTTGGTCATTGGCTCTGCAATCTGGACTACCAATCTTATTTGCAAAGGTTTGAGAACAAAGCAGACTGCCCAGATTTACGCAATAGGCTTCTTGCAAGAATTAATCTGTTGTAGTTTGTCCACGTCTACATCAATCCAAGACACCAAAGCCTGATCAGTCGACATCCCCTCCAAATCCATACAATCATGGTTCTACCTAGCATAGCACGCATAAACTGCCAACAAAGACAGCACAAAAACAGCAACATGAGCGAACTCAGGGAAAATGCCTCCTTTTCAGCATTGCCAAACTTGAGAGGCTCTTGCGGAGTAGGGTGTGCGACTCAAGTCTCGTTTTCGTTGTTCCTGCTAGCAGAGTGACTCTACCCCATTTTCAAAAACTATACTAAGACTCAGGTGTCAGGAGTCTAAGGGGAAGAGGGTGTTCATGGTACTGGATAAGCATCGTTTCTTGCAAGTACTTCCGTGAGTGGAGCTTTCGTGGCGGCGCCAAATTCGGAAGATTCGCGAATGCAGAGGTGTGCCATCAATTCAGTTGTGCAGACCTGAAACTTATCAACGTCATGCCTTCTTGCTCCATGGAAGCTATCAACTGTCTGTGCCAAAGCTGTTCAGGAGTCCCAAAGAAAAGCCTGCTGAGGCAGGAACATCTCTGTCTTCAAAATGAATAAAACATTGACCAGATGCCTCAAAGGCAACATCAAGGAGGATGATATGCGGCTTCTTGTCTGACTTTCGGCAGCGCTGACAGAGTGAATGCTGATCGTGGCTCGCACGAAAGGCTCTAGTTGGAATTTTCGACTACTATTTCTACCTATACTATTACTATGACTATTGCTACTATTATTATATTATTAGTATTTTACATTAGAACCTCTGCATGCCCTCAGCCTGCCACCTCGGCAGGCCGCCAAAACAAGCGTGACATCCAAAGGCTTCATCACTGCCAGCTGAGATGTCCAGGGGGAACCTTTCGCTTGAAAAGGGCTGTTCAGTGGGGGTTCGATCAAAAGGGAAAGGGTCAAGTGGAAATCGGGTCCAATCCATGCCTTTCTTGCAGCCCTCTCCCTCGACCTTTCCTTCCCCTTACCGCTCCCAAGTCTCTATGTATAAATCTGTCTGGCCAACCCATCCCTGTATGTCTGCACTTGTACTCTCACTCTCTCTCTCTCTCTCTCTCTCTCCCCTCCTCCTTCTTCTCCTCTCCATACGCTGGAGCTCAGCCTTTGTGGGACTCCCATCTTGGAGTTTATCCATGTTTGTAGAACTAGCCACGCATGTTTTGCGTCCAGCTCAGAGTCTTGTCCAGGAACAGAAGAGGGAGAAGCTGCTTGCATGATTTGATGCACAGAACCATCAAGATCAGGACGAATCGCACCCTCCAGCGGTCAATCACACAATCCCTCAGATGCCTTGCCCTGAAAAGCAAAATTCCGCAGTTTGACGTCTTATCCTCATGGAGATGCTCTGTGAGGGGAGAATCGAGAGTCAATACCGCAGGCAAAGCTGCAGCTGCGAGCTCAGCGGCGAGCTCAACCCAAGGCCCTACTCTTGCCATGGGTGGCCGTCTCAGACCTTTGGTCAGGCATCCTGCCGGCTGTGTTCTTGCTGTGGCAGATCTTTGCAGTTCTCCATGCCGAGAGGAGAGCCGGGTTGGCAGTTTTTTTGGCCCAAGGGCAAAGCCCAAAAGCTGTGAGGCTTTAGGCAGTCGGCCCAGATGCTTGTTCCCCAGAAGCCCGCCGCACCACGTAGCTGGCCAACAGCGCCAGGCCGCAACCGTCGTTTTGGGGCTTCTATGCCTCTCTCTGGAGATTACACTGAAGAACGTCAGTCAACTATCTCCTTTGCTTCTGAGCCTTGGAGTTGGAAAGCGCAGCAAAGTGGACCTCTGTGTTATCAACGTGGTCATGATTTGTCATGTTTGCTCTGCACTGCCTGCCTTGCTCGCATGCGCGCCGTCAGTGACGAGCTAAGGAGACGCAAGATAAAACGCTGTGGACCTCTACTTCAGACAAGCTGCCGAGCAAGGAAAGCAATCAGGATAGCCCAGTCGCTTCTTTGTCAAGGCTTGTTGCTGACAGGGACAGGTGGGCGCGTCTCAAAAGTTGCAGACCATCAAAACTAGGCCATCTGATATCTGAGAACTTACTGAGAATCTTACTGAGTACAACGACACAGAAACGCTGGTTCCTAGAGCAAAATCGCAGATTGTGCCACTGAAAGTCCTTTAGGTTCTCGTGAAGCGGAGAAGCTCCAAACCCTTAGGGTTTGTGTTGCAATTGCAGCATTGCCAAAAGACTCCAAGGTAGTTCTCAAGTTTGAGACCTTGCGGGTCGACCCGCAATTTTCCTTCCTTCGGTATCACGGCCTAAGCCCGGTGAAGTGCCAACATAGCACGGCCTTGCAACCTAACGCCCTGAACAGGATGAAGCAGGTTCGAGAACGGCGTCATGGGCCCGCACTATGGTGGAGTTCGCAGGAAGAACGCAGCACGCGCTCTCCCTTGGAACTGGGTGGTATGAGCAATGTAGCTGAACTGGACTTGGGTCACCTTTTTTCTGCTTTGGGTTGTTGTGAGGTGGTGCAGTGGCTGCTGGTGGTGGTAGGGGTGCTGCTCTTGTTGTTATGATGCCGGCTACCGGCAAGGAGTTGTTTCTCAAGTTCGAGTTCCAGTCTTCCAGCAAGCATAACTCAGGTGGAAGTGGGTACCAAGGCATCCAGTTTCCCTGGCTTCCTTGGTGACAGTGTGAAAGTCGTCACAGTAGAGCGCCCAACCACCTGCTTGGAGCTGGGAACCAGTTTCGTTTGAGCCAGTGGTGATGGCAGCTCCTGCTGTCGATTTAGTGTGCAATCTTTTTGTCAGAATTTCCGAGGCGCGGCCTCGATGCAAAGTGTTTACACTGAATTTGATACAGCAAAGCACCACAGAGTGACATGTGGATGCTGCTGCTGCCGGCACGCAGCAGTCTCGTTATCAGGCCTTGTGTGTACAGTCCTTCTTCTGCACAGGGTGACAGGTTCGCAACAAGGGTTTGGATTGATGCCCAGGCAATGCAACATCAGGGCATTCTGTTCTTGTCAGCGCTCCCAAGCCTCGGAGCACGTGGACAGGTAGACTCAATGACTACGGTTCCGATGATGTCAACCAAAGCAGCGGCAGGGTCAGCTCCAGCGGCAGCACCGGCAGCACCAGCAGTGGCAGCAGCGGCGGCAACGGCAAGTGCAACAGTACGAAGAGAACGAAGAGAAAACATAATAATGCTAGTAGTTGTAGTATGGTAGCAGTAGTGATAGCAATCATAGAAGTAGTAATAGTGAGAATAACAAGAAGAGCAGCAGCAACAACTGCACCCCTAGCTACGACTTGTCTTGTGGTTCTTCTACGGCCAGCCTCCCCAGGATCTCCAATGGCTTTCCATCCTCGCTTTGAAAAGCCTCGCACAGCTCCCAAACCCTCCACTTGCACCCTTCAAAATCTTTCAGACAAGCAAAGTGACTCTCCAAAAGCCCACCTTCACTCCCGGAGCTCTTCCACGGTCCTCCCAAGGGCCCGCAGGCTCCGAACCCTCCCAGGACATACCTCTTCCTGGCTTTGAAGCCCTTACCCAGGCAGGAGTGTCCCACGAAACTTCCACACTTGACTGTGGGCCAGTAATGCATCTTCTGGGCGCCGACCCAGGTGCTGCAAGTCCCACGAGTACTTACTGCGAGTGGAGGAGTCCTACAGTCTTGCAAGCACTACGAATACTACAAGCATTGCAGGGAATACAGATATACCAATGATTACAAAAACTACATACAAGTCTTCGTGGAACAGCATGAAAACCGCCGCCGCCGCCGCCGACCATGACTGCGACCGCGACCGCGACCGAGACCGCGACAGCAACAACTACAACCACAACGACAGCGCCAACAGCTGCTGCAACTGCTACTGCCACCACGAGGACGATGACGACGACGACGACGAGTACTACTACTAGTACTAGTAGTACTGTTGCAATTCTTGTTAATTGATGAGTCGCAGATTATCACTACACCCTGATTGGTACTTCGATGCCAGGGCGGTTGCGAACCTAACAGCAACATATCCGTAGTCAGGCTCGCAGCTGGAAACGTGGGGAACTTCTCATTCTACACATCATATCATCCTGGAGCAGGCACTCTTTAGAAATGCTTGGATGAGGTATTATCTTGAGAAATCCTCCATGTTTTGCCGGGTGAAGCTGCTCCAGAACCGCGGATGGGGGCAGCACGTACGCATTGCATGGGGAAGCCTTGGATCAGGAAAACGTTGGGGGGACATGGAAATGTGCATTTACTCGGGGTTCATTGGGATGCTGCATGATTATGCTGGATCAGGAGGGATTATGGAAGCATCTGGTACTTGGGATGTGGTCACAGTGGGGTTGTCTTGTGGTGCGATGTATGATTGGGATCTTGGTTCCGAGAAAGGCCTGAAGGGCCTGCAGGATCAGGCATCATCTTAAGGCAGGGTGCCAACTGGAAAGCTGTTACGCTCTTGGATGTCTTAGGAGCCACCTACGTAGAAAGTTGTCAAAGTGACGGGTCCTTCCTGCACTAAAGACAGCTCAGCGTTTGGGGTTTGGAAAAGGGACCTCCAACTTTGACTCCTGACTGCGGGACCGGAGACTTGAGGTTGGAGCCAGTGTTTGAATGTGAAACAAGTGGTTTCATTTTTCAGGACGGCGATGTCTTTCCAGACGCTTTTTCAAGTAAGAAGAAGAAGTGCCCTGCGACACCACAGGCCGCTTGTAGGTAGCTCAAGTTAGGCCACCCTGGTAACGTGATATCTATTTATTCAAAGTTTACGGTTGCGACAGATGTAAAAGCAAAGACAACGCCGTCTGAGAAGGCCTAGGCTCTGACATTTCTCCGAATCCGATGTCCGAGGTATGATGTATATCTCGGAGCTGTGGATTTTCCGCAGGCACATGAGGTTTCGATGAACTAGCTTCGGTTCCGGAATGTGTTCGAAGCTGGTCTGCTAGGGCGCGCTATTTGGCCTTGCGAATCTTCAATTGATTCAAGCGGGCATCCAGGTAGCCACAGTATCAGTATGCTGGCTTCGTGAAATAGCGCGCCAGTGTTTGCTGCAAAAGGGGACGTTTATTTCTCCTGCAAACGACTCTGCCAAGACCGCTGCAACTGGGTTTCGATCCCTGTTCAAGCCTAACCTTTTTCTTCAATGCAGGGGTATTTCGTGGTCTCAGTACTTCTCAGACCCCCAAAAGCTTCTGCTGCTCTATTTGCAGGAATGCCAAAACCAGAATTCCTGTTGGTGCCTGATAAGTTTGTAGAAGTCCTGATCGAAGCTTCGTAGGATCTCTACAAGTTTCTTGGCAGCGGCCTCGCGAAGCTCTTGAAGGGCCTAGCACTTCAGCTAATTCCAGGTGCATCATAAGATGCCGTAGCCTCGGGAGCTGAGTGTTGCCCAAGATTTGACGCGTACCAACTGGTGTGAGAAGTGCTTGACGCCTTGGTTTACCAGAACTGAGCGACTGAGCCATTTGTAGAAGTGAATAGTTGCCAACAAGCCTGTTCTTACTATTTGGGTTTGTACCTTGGGCCTGCCTTTGGCTGGTGCTTCTGACTCTAGATGCTCTTGACACAGTGCACAGTGGGGGGGTTTTTGAAAATCGCCTGCCTGATGGGCTTTCTTATTTTTGAAACCCCATGTCCTAACCATGGAAAAACACGGGTAAAGGCCACGATTGGCGCCGCCGCACGGCCATGGAGGGACAGACAAGCTTTTTCGATTCGAAAGCGGAAAAAGTTGACGTTGCTCTGGCGCAAGGTTTGTGATCACAGCAAGTGTTCCACTGCAACGTCTTCTATCTGATATGTCGGCTGCCGAGGCTGTGGGGCGGCTGTGTCGGAGAGGCGCACCCCAAGGGCTTCCATTGACCGTGCTTCAGCAGTACCTGCTAAACACGGGGGCTCACCAGAAGACGGCTGCCCATGTTGAGTTCAATAGTTGAAAAATTCAGCGGAGGTACCAGGGGCTGTATGGATGAGTGCATGGTAGGCCGGCATGAATGCCCAGTGTATGCAGCAAGAGTTCTGCTGACAGATGGTGGGATGCTTTGTTGCATAAACTTAGCTTTGGGCCAGCGTTTGCAAGAGCTCACTGCGCAGGCAAACAAAGTGGCCTTCCAGTTTCGATTTCGGCCCTTCATACCTTCACGTGGAGGAACTGTGGCAGCAGGCAGCTCAGAAACCCAAGAGGTGTTGAGCAGGAGTGAGTTGGACCATGCAAGCTCTTGCATGCCGAGCAGTGCTTGTTGTGTTGATAGGTGATGCTTGAAAAGGCAGAAAGACAGAGCCAGTAAGGTAGGCAGTACTTCTGGCCACCTAAGGGCCAACGCTGCTGTTGAGTATGTCAATTCGGACGGGGATCAAATCAGCTTGGCCCCAGCGGATGAGCCCGGCAGGCCTGGTAAGTTGTCCTCTTTTGGGTTTTGGGATATTTGGGATGCCTGTGATACCCCTTCCTGCGCTGTCAACTTGAAAGATCCCATTGCAGCGCTCAAGCATCCTCACCGCGTGAGCTGTATTTCCAACGGAGATCATGGGATCCATCCCCTAAATACTGATTGCGGCAGGCTTCCCAACCTTCATGACGTTTTCCGACTGCAAGGGAGTCTTTTCTAGATCTTGCAGGCTGCTGCTGGAGCTCAATGGCGTTGCCAAAGGCGAGGTGACCCAGCTGAGGCCATTGCCTCCAGGTTTTTCTTGCGAGCCCATGCGGACGGGAGCAGCAGCCCTCTTGATTATATACTCTGACGCACGGTAAGAGGCACAGACGGGGTGCCCATAACCTTTCCCATCCTGGGATACATGATGCCTGCGCCAGTTACGACTCTGCAAGCGGTGCTCTGCTACAGCAGGACTCTGCAAGCAACCGCAGCTAGCCCTCAGAGCATACGTGGTGCAGCAAAACCTGGACTTGCCAAATTCATACTGGCATGCTATGGGCTGTGACGTTTGAGTGAGCGAGGTGCACGGGTGTGCAGGGTGTTTTCGCTATGAGTAGTTAGTACGACTGCACTTGCAACTGTCGCAGTGTGCTTGATTATCGTTTTAGTTCAGCAAGTCTCATGCCTTCCTACTAATGTTTTAGTTGTCTTCGGACTTGTCTTGATTCTGCACCTGAGTGAGAATAGGATGTCCTTCAGTGTTGCTTCCTTTCAGTAGCCCCTCTCTCTGTCTCCGATCCCCTCTTTCTCCTCCCCTCTTCTTTTCGTCTTTTTGTTTTTCCCGCAGGAGAACTTGCCCCTGGCATCCTCGTGGCCTGCTCAGTTGCTGTCGCGAAACGCAGGCTTAGGACACCTCAACAAGGGGCTTCGCGCAATGGAAGGCGTTCACCACCGCAGACATGTCGCGCAGCTAAGGATGGACAGCAGAAGCGTGGTGCCGCTGAAGGACCGCCTATATCCTGCGCTGGCTTGGGGTGTTGGTGGAGAAGCTGGAGAGTCCCGCACCTTGCTTCAGACTTGGTAACTTCCCTGACTGGCGGCAGCCCCAAAATACTACAAATGAGAATTATGGGACCTGCTGAAGAGCCCTTCC